CAACGCCAAGCGGCAGAAGACCGGGCGCGCAGTTCGACTGCCGGCGCGCCTCGGCGACGGCAACAGTCTGCTCAGCTTCGCCGGCCGCCATTTACCTCCGCACGATGACGGGAGCTCCGAGGCATCCCTGCCCCACCGCCCCGTCCAAGCTGCCCGTGCGCATGCCGCCTCGTCTGGTACGCGCCGTGCTGACACCGCAGTCACCGCTGCGGCCTCTTCGTCTACCAGGAACATGCCTGCTTCTGCCGGCGCGTACTCCATGGCCCGCCCGGCCGGGGCTCGTCCTTCTACCCTCAACGACTCCGCCATTGCCCGTGACGGGGCCAAGGGCGGAGCGGCGGGGTCTGGTCGTCTTTTAGGCATCGGCACCAACACGGCCCGGTCTGGGGGTCTGGGTGGTGCTTCGGCGTCAACCGCCGGTGCACCCGCCGCCCGGGCGCACGGGGCAGCAAGCGTCGGCGGGAGCGGTGCGCGCGGGATCATCGTCGACCGAGCCTCGACGGCAGATGAGCTTCACCGCATCATCAAGCCAGCCACCCCCTTGGTCAAGGCCGCGCTTTGTGGGATGCTAATGTACAAGACGGCACCCTCTATGTACTCGGTGAGAATTTTTTGTGCTGCCATCGCGCCATGTGGTTGGGGCGCACGTATGTTCATGTATTCATTGGCTCCAGCATGCAAGTGGGCGAGTTCGTCTCATGTTGCGTTAGGACATGTTCGATCCGGTGTATGTTTTGAGCATGGTGTTGCTTTGGGTTGGCTCTTGGGGATGTTTGTTATGTCGGGTACACCGCAGTACAGCTAGACGAGAAAAACTTCACTTGCCAAAGAATGGCTCTTTGGGTATCGTATCTCTGTTGGGTGCGTACACTGCAGTAGCTTGCAATCCACAATTTCTTGCACACTCCTGCCGTTGCAGAAGTGATATTCGCTTGGAGTCTGTATATGCCTTGTGGCCACCACAAGCGAAAATACCTAGTAGTCAACAGCAGTACGCAATGATCAACGAATGATGGAGCTGTCTCGGCGTTTATGTACTCTTCAGTATGTCATGTCTGCTTCCCGTTTGAACCTGACCAACAGCCTCGTCCGCCATTTCCACCCTTGCCGCCAACCCTGTCCGCCATCAGGCGATCAAACCCGACAGCGACAACGGCAGTGGCAACAACGGATCGAGGGAGAAGGTGAAGGGAGAGAGGTCTACGAACGGTGTCATCAACCGGATCATGGTCACGTACAGCTACGCCTTCGTGGGCGACGCCAAGAAGCGCTTCTCGGAGGGGAAGCTTCCGAGCGCGAGGAACAACCCCTTCGTCGCCGTCGGCGCCATGGTCTACCCCAAGGCTCAGTCCGGCGCAAAGACATGGGAACGTGAGTAGAGCAAAACGACAAGTATTTGATTAGACCTGCTGCACTCGTACTTTAACTTTGGTGGTTCGTACCGTAGTCACTCGCCAGGCAGCCGCACCCACCCGTTTCGACGGCAACAAACACAAGAACGCTGAAATAGCCTCGGGGTCAGCTTGTTTTCTCTTTGGATGCCCCGCCCCTACCTCTAAGGTTCTACCGTGGACGGGACGCAAAAAGATGCATGCCCCCACCACAGGCTATCTGGCGGACTATTTCGTACTTGTCGTTGGACACTAAAGCCTATGCTATACCTACGCTCCATCCTACCCTTGTTTTACATTCCCCATTTTGCGCCGTACTCCGTCCCCCCCCCCCCCTCCTCCGTTGCGCCCAGGTGAGTTCATAGACGGCGTTACCACGGCAAGGGCTGGTGTACATTCCGACGCGCGGAAGGCAATGGTGACCCTCTGCCTCCACCTCGTCCGCATCGCAGCGAAGAGCCACCCTGACCTACGCCACCTGCCGGACCTGTTCCGTGCGGCCAAGGCTGCGATGAGGGACATGGAGCTGAAGGACGTGGCAAGTGTTTTTGGTTTCGTATCATCAGCAATAGGTCGTTTGACAATAGCGCTTCGTTGAAGTCGAAATAGGACATGCAGGTCGGAGCACTACTGGACACGAAGCAAGACCGGTTGCTGGGTGTTCCCGAAAGCTCTCACGAATTTTACATCACATGGGTTAGGAGAGCGCCACGCGACGCTGCAGCGAAGCAAGTTTTATGCGGCGGCTTTGCCTCTTGCACGGTCGATGTTCGATGCGCGTCCTGTCTGATCGTAGACCAACAAACTGTTACCAATGGAGACAAAATACCTACTCTGTCCGCCCACGCTTTGACATACCCCTGTGCCCCCCACTGCTCGTTGTCGCGTGCGCAGAGGTTTGTCAAGGCCATGGACTCCATCCTCCACAAGATTATCTCAGCACACAGCGCGTCGGCACGTAGGGACCTGCGCCCGATGCATGTATTCGGAGGAGACAAGCTCGTCTCGGACTTCACGCAGCAGGTGCGTACATCAACCTCGTCGGGATCGTGGCCCCGGGGGGGATATTGTTTTTTTCTTTTTTAAAGCACGTTCCCGAGGGCTAAATGGTTACGAGGGAGAGATTGTCTTTTCTGCTTTAAAGCACGTTCCCGCGGGCTCGTATTCCCCGAGGAGAAGAACAAGAAACACTACCCACGCACCGTACATCAGATGGACAGAGTATACGACCAGTAGTACAAAAGTCAAAGAGGGGAGGTCAATTTTCGTAGTGGTTCATGTGCGTCGATGATTATGGCACAGGGACACACCCGTTCTACCCATAGCAACCCATAAACTCCATCCCCATGCTTGCAGCGCAGCCGTAAGTTGTCCCTCCTAGCCCCCTGGGATATATCGGTTGTTGCTTTTGAAAACACGCTCCCCCGGGGCTAAATGGTTAAGAGGGGGAGATGTTTTTTTCTTTCATGAAAAAGACACTATCCCGGGGCCACACGACACCGTAATCAGAGTTCCAAGGGCAAAAAGGGGAGGGGGGGGGCTACGACACTATCCCGAGGCCAAGACCCCGACGATAACGGTAAGTCACGCACGCCGTCGTTGTCTTTGTCCTTCTTGGCCTTCTTGCTTCTTTCCCTCAGGTGATCATCCCCCTGGCCCTCGACGCTCTCTGCGATGCCGAGTACTACCCTGTTCCTCCCGTCGGAGAGTACGAGACTGTCCTTTGCCTGGCGGAGAGGAAGCTGAATGCGTTCGGGCAAATGCGGAACGGCGGCTTCAGCGAGCCCAAGTACAAGATGTTCCAAAAGGCGTAAGTTCGTGGTGTCATACGCTTGCCGTCGCCCGCACGAGGCCGCACATCTATTTGCATCATATTCTATAGGAAAAAACAGAGGTTGGTTTCCGAGATAATTTACATAAAAAAAAATTGAGAATCAAAGCAATCCTCTGTATCTATAGTCAGTCTTCAATTTCGTGCCTGCGGCGTCATTGTATTTTAGAAACATGGGTGGGGGACGTGCGCTGAAGGTATGATTGGCCAGGAAATACCGGGGGGGGGGACTCCCGCGTTCAGTGTCGGCCGCGAGCATTTTTTTTTTTTATCTTGGGCTAGGCTCCATGTGTTGTTCATTGTTTCTCCACATGATCATCTGTCCAAAAGTGACATTTTCGTTCCGTGCGCGCTCGACCCTTTCTACAGACTGTGGTACGGCCTGTACAACTACGCCACTGGCGTGCGCCGCTTCGGCCACCCTCTCGCCACTCTGCACAAGAGCCAGTTTCACCACCGTGGCAACATGCTCTACGTCGCGCCGTGGGCAGGTGCGTGCACGCGTGTTGTCCCAACTAACCCCATGTTTTATAGAATGGTATTCCAGCCCTATATGACGGTCGCCCCGGTGGATCAGTTGGTATCCCCGTAACCATCTAGCAGGCAAGTTCAGGGGTTCGAATCCCAGCGTGTGCGACTTTTCCTCATGAAAGTGAGTTTTTTCTCTCGCACTCGTTTCTAGCCAGTTGATAGCGCCCAGTGCGTGTGTAAACAGTGGAAGGAGGTGGCCGATACTCCTCCCACAGTAGAAACTATCGGCGAAGCACCGCCGGAGGAGGGGTGAGAGGTAGAGGAGCCTTCTGTGTGACCACGGTTCAGAGTTCGAGGCAAGATGTTGTGTGTAGAGAGACGCCGGACACTGGAACTAAAAGTGAACACGAAAAAAGAAAAAGAAATTGCTGAGCCCTATTCAAACACCTACACTTTTCCGTTTTGCATGCCAATTCGATTTACACGACGCCATCAACTTTTTTGTTTTTCTTCATATCTCCGCAGATGATGGCCGCCCAGACCTCATGCCCCGCGACTCCATCGAAGAGGACTCTTCGTCTGAAGACGAGGACAACGGTGTCATCGTCCGGGAGACCCCCTTCCAGCGCGGTGAAGACCTAATCATCGACGAGACCGAGCTACCTACTTTCCTCGACAACATGGACAAATGAAGCCTGGTCGCGCCGACCTAAGTTAGGCGACTTTAATGGCGGAGCCTAACTTGCTAAGAACGTACTTGGGGTGACCCCTCTGGTGATGGTGCACCCGTAGCCTAGCATCCGTAGCCTAGAGGGGTTTGAATTCCTGTTTGTCAGGATCTCCCCGAAGTTGATATCTGGTTGTTGGTTTGTGCCTTTTCGCAGAAACGCGAAGGTGAATCGGCGGGTACGCGGTCGTCGTCTTGGCTATTTTTTTTCGGTCGTGCTCTTTGTCGTGTTGGTCTGTTTTAATTGAGTGAAGCCAGAGGGCCAGGCATACGCAGTGAGGCTTGTGCCGCTTGCACACTATCAATGACCTTAGCACGTGCGTGTGATTGACGGCAGATGATGTTTCGTATTTCACCTGTTGCCCACATTAGTTTTTTGCTTGATTGCGTTTTTATCGATATGTTTTGTCTGCGATGGAATTCCCGTAGTTTTTCTTTGTTTTTGTGCCTTTTCGCAGACACGCGGAGGTGAATCGGCGGGTACCCGGTGTCTCAGCTGTTCTTTTTGCCGGTCGTGCTGTTTGTCGTGTTCGTCCGTTTTAATTGAGTGAATCCAGAGGGTCAGGCATACGCAGTGTGAGGCTTTTGTGCCGCTTGCACACTATCAATGACCTTTGCACGTGCGTGTGATTGACGGCGGATGGTGTTTCGTATTTCTCCTGTCACCCACATTAGTTTTTTGCTTGATTGCGTTGTTCTCGATATGTTTTGTCTGCGGTGGAATTCCCGTAGTTTTTCTTTGTTATTGTGCCTTTTCGCAGACACGCGGAGGTGAAACGGCGGGTACACGGTGTCTCGGCTGTTTTTTTCGGTCGTGCTCTTTGAGCCTGTCTTATCGAAATCGGAAAAATCTGCTTCCAGGAAAAAAAAATCAAAATCAAAAACAGATTTTTGCCGGGAGGCGAGGCTGCAGTCTTAACGGGAAAGCGATGGTCACCGAGAAAACGCCTACATGATTGGAAACTTAAAGGGGTAGGTGCAGATCGTCATTCGCGCTGCACGTGCCCCCCAGCCTCGTTTTGCAGCCCATTGCCGCTACCAAACCACCACCACAGCGGTCCCCCACGGCACGTGTCAAGTTGAGCCACCTGCCATGGCTGTCAGTCCAACCAGAAGGGCCAAGCGTGCCCATGGGCTGGCCTCCTTCACGAAGAGGGTGTCGAGCCTGTTGGATGCACTGGCCATTTTGGACAACCTCGCAGCGCTCGATGCTCCGTCGAAGAGGAGCCGCAGCACCCTGGTCGCGCGAGAGAGGCGGCCTTTCGNGAGCCACCTGCCATGGCTGTCAGTCCAACCAGAAGGGCCAAGCGTGCCCATGGGCTGGCCTACTTCACGAAGAGGGTGTCGAGCCTGTTGGATGCACTGGCCACTGTGGACAACCTCGCAGCGCTCGATGCTCCGTCGAAGAGGAGCCGCAGCACCCTGGTCGCGCGAGAGAGGCGGCCTTTCGAGACCTACATCAAGCCGATGCTGCAAGACCACACGTTCTCGATG